GTCAGAAGAGAATGGGACACAAATTAGCTATTGTCCTTCGTCATCGACAGTACCCTCTACTCCCGAAGCCCACCCCACTTCCCAGCCCAGCCACCCCCTACCACTCGCCCAAGAGAGCAGCTCCCACAGCGTGATAGCTTAGTAAGAGTTCACCACGACAATCTGTGGATATGAAATGCTTCTACGACAGGGGCTGAAAATGAGCCTTATTGAAAGCAGAGTTTACAGCAGTGGTCTGTGGAAGTAGCTTCAGACTTTTCTCCTACAACTTGTCCCCTCCAAAGAATGCTTAATCATAATTTCCTCACACAACTTACTCAATGATTCACCTGCTCGCCTATTCTCTCCAACCCGTTCCAATAGCTCTTAGCTCATTTCCCAGGGTGGAGGGACATTTCTCCTCAGCCTCTATTACTGTTCCTTATTTTAAAATTCATGTAAAATCTTAGTATCAAACAAGAATAAATCAGGAATTTCAAAATGCACTAAAATGTAAAATAGTGGTTGTCAACTAAGTTAATTTCTTCAATTTGTTTCAGTTTGAATATAGTTTAAAAAAAAAGAAAACAACTATTTTTTAAACTCTCCTCTCTGGTTGCTGTCACCTTCTGAAATGGCAGAGCCTCTGTTCAGCCAAAACAACTGGCTTGGAAAAAAAAACCATTTCTAGGGATTTCTAAATACAAAAGGTTGTTTAGGCATTAGGATTATCTGGCACAATCTGTCTAATCTTTCTCTTCGGGGTTCCTAGAGTGCAACTAAACCCCGGAGGGGAGAGAAAGTTCTTTCTGGCTCACTCCATAATTCTTGCTTAACCCATATTTTATGCCACTTCAGGCAGAAATCTGCTGAGAAGTTCACACACACACACACACACACACACACACACACACACACACACACACAGAATTCGAAAGGCTCTTTAGGGACAATTTTGTCACCCTTGATAGAAATGACTACAGATGTACACACAGTCTCTACAGACTCTGCTTCCTGCCACACTGGGCTCATGCATGAGAGGGTTTTATTTCCTCACTTTGTGGCAGCTTAATTTTCAGCCTTCAGAAAAAAGGATCATGTAGGGAGAGCAAGTCTAAATTGTATTCTGCCATCATTTCTAGCAACCTCTAATCATCTGTAAGAACTTAAGTGATAAATAACAAGTATGTAAATGACAACTGTTTTTACTGGAATCAGAAGAGTTTTGATTTCAGAGGAGCCAATGTTATTTAAGAAACAAAGGTGTAGGCCTAGGAACAAGGGTCATGTTGCTGATTCTAGAAATTTCTGTGTATTCTCTCCATCATCCGAGCCCGCTCTCTGATCACTCAGAAAACAACGATAAGAATATCTGCCATGAATACCTCCTCTACCATGTGTGGTAAAATGAGAAGATGGGTGACAGAACACTCAGTACAACGTGAAAGACCGTTCAAATGGAGGGCATTATCATCGGAATGCAAACGGGACTGTGTGAACTCCATCGTGAGGCTTGAAATGGAAGGCTTTGATCTAAAACACTTAAAATTAATAAGAACACTTATTTACGCAGTTAGTGAATGGGACCTTGTTGGCTCTTCGTATGTTTACATCTCATACCAATTTTTCTACACTTTAAATGAATTCTACATCATTTTATATAAATTCAATCCTATAGCATGTTTACCCTTCATTGGCAAAATGCATGGTTGAATTACATTCTTGGTACATTTATGGCAGCAGGGAAATAAATATGTTTTAGAAAATGGCATTTTATCATCACTACCAAATTAAACAAGAAAGCAGGCTATGTTATCTTGATTATTTTGATAAAGAATGGCTTCAGGATTCAGTCACAGCACCTTAAATGGATGAGATTACTCATTACAGCGTTATGCAAGGAAAAGGAATTAAACATATTGTTCTACAAATTTTAAGAACCGCATCTAGAAAAAAAATCGGACAAAATATTATATAGTAATACCGAAATCATGATAATTTAACATAGAGTGAGATAGGGAAGCATTTCACTACTGTGACATCATTATGGAATACTTGAAGTAAGAAAGTGAGTAGCTGTAAGAAACCAACTGAACTTGATGGAAGAAAAGGTAAGAGGCGAGATTTTAAGAACTTTTGGAAAGTACCACTAAGCTAATTAGAAAAGGGAATCTGTGCACAGGGGATAATTACCCAGCTAATTCAGAAAACATCACTGTGCTTTAGGCCACATACATCTTTCACTTCTCCTAAATATCTGATTCGTTGGGACAAGAACATATTACAAATGCTAGTTTTTGGAGAATAAAGAGAAAGACAATAGGAAAGTATAAGGCTTGACTTTAATTTGCAGACAAGTAGAGAATCACAAAATCAAGCATTTTAGGGCTGGAAGGGACTTAAGGGGGCACTGCTAGCCTATTTTTTTTTTAAACACTTTATTTTATAAATGTTTTTGAATTAAATTTGAAGATAATTTTATAATCACCTTCATTTGATTCCTGTTACTGGCGGTGATACTCTTTCTTGGGGAGTGTTAGGGTCTAGTTAGGGATGGATACAAACTTGCTTTCCTTTCTGAACACAGCTACGGAATCAAGTTTAGATACATCTCCAAAGCCAGGGCTCAGGGAATTTGTCCTCCTCTATCCAGGAACCTGAGAAGACTGTGGAGTAGATCAGATGTGGGGGCCAGAAACAGCGGGAATATTGCCTAGAGGAGCCCAACCCCATTACTTACTCACGTGTTTATGTACGCTTGGTGCTTTCATTTGGTAATGATTTTTCCATCTAGCTAATGATGTTTCAACATAAAACTTTGTTCCACTCCCCAAATGTTCTATCATTGGAGGTCTCACTAGCAACGGAACAGTAACTAGCAATACTCTATTGCAAGGAATCAAATGAGAAAGCAAAAACTGACACACTCATTTTAAGCTACATCATATAACAATGGCTCAGAACCCAGTAGTTTATGAATGAAATAAAGATACTTTATTTATTACACAGGCACTTGGATATTCACATGCCCAACACATCTGATACACTTAACAACTATGGAAACATGAGTGGAAAATGTCTGTTTGTAGGATCAAGAGAGAACTTTCACCATGTAAAGGTGAATTAGTGCATTAACAATTTTTCCCTTGCTTTCCTCTAAGAATTTCCAAAATCCACTGAAGTTTCAAAAAGTTACACTTGAAATAATATGCGACAAAAACTGATCTACATTCCAACTGGTATGCTAATTCGAATTTTGAGCAGTTTAAACTTTTATCACAATGCAACATATTTATAGTCATGCTTGAACAGATTAGGTTAGTAGCATGCATTCCATTCTGCAATATGAATATTGTTAATCTATTTCCCAACAGAAGTCAAAAGATGCCCAGTGCATAGAAAAATACAAATCACTGTAGTCAATATATTATGGGACTGATTTGGGGACTTACACGGTGATGATGAAAGTCCTGAAATGCCATGCCCACAAAAGCACATTAAAAAGGGGATAAACATATTTTATCAGACAATCTCTAAAAAATTAAAAGATGAGGGCTTTAAATGTGGGGGATGTTCTTGGCTGTGTGCTTTGCATAGCGCCTTTCTGCTCACCTCCTTCTGGCTTGACTGGTCCATCAGACACCACCTTCCTGAGGGCTAGCTGGCTTTGGTCTTGGTTGCCATTGGCTGGTGGAGGCAGATTATCAGACTGAGTTCTTTGAATGGGGAGGACGCCTGCTATGCTGTGTCTGTGCTGCTTCCTGGCATGATTAGTCTGACCGCTTTTATGTGCTGCTGTGGCAGTGTGGGTGAAATGGAAACCCAGAGTATGTATCCTCAGATGGAACCAGCTTCAATGTTACTCATGCAAACAGAAGTGATCTTTTGCTCGATCCCAGGAAGTTGTGTTTTCAAAGGCCAAAATGACACCACATGCACAGCACTAGAGGGGTTAAAACTGGCTGTTTCTCAGGACATGAAGACTTGGGGAGACAGGGCTAACATCAATCTCTCTCCGTGATCTGGCTGACGCTGCTTGGAAGTGAAATGGCAGCTCCGTTTGTCAGATCTCTGCGCTCGTTCAGTTTTTACATATCGACTGACTAAGTTTTTGCAAACTCAACGAAAAAACAGCAATTAAGTTGGGTGAGTGGTTACTCTTTGATCAGCATCTTGACTGTGTAAGGATTTCCAATGGTTAGAAAAGGAAATAACCTAGAAATTCTCCGATATCGTTTACAAAGTGTGATCCAAGAGAATGGACCTGATTGTGTTCCTGAATGAGGTGACATTGCCTCATCACATATGTCTATACATCTATTAATACTATGTACTTTTTGGAAAATATAAGACTTGATTTTCTTCACAGATGTGTTTCCCAAAAGACTAGAAAGTTTCCCGCATGGAAAGCTACAACATTTCACATGCATAATTCATTGAGGTTTTTAAGCTGGAAATGGCTTTCCCCCTCCCGCTCAGCTCGAGAACTCGACTGTTGGTCGCATTACTCTTCTGCCCAACAATTTCTGAGTGTTTTCGGATGCGAGAATCTCATCTCTAATCAGCTCTAAATGCTTGTGTATGTGCTTTTTTTTTTTTCTTTTGGTGTAATGCCTGGAAAACTGGCAGTCACTTGTGCTTATAATTCCTGGATTCTCAAGGATATTTAAGTGCACACGAAAAGGACACACAACACTGCTTTGCCTGCAAACATCACAGACACAGCTACCAAATACTGTGAGCCAGGTTGGATGGATGGTGGAGACAGAGGGGAAACAGCCAGTTTTACTGCAGTCCACGTACATAAAGAAATGAAAAAAAAAAAAAAAAAAAAAAGAAATCTAAGTAAGAAAGAGCGGACTGATGTCTTGGTACTGTTCTCACATGGACAGAGGGACAGAGGACGGAGGGAGCAGGGTCTGCCAAAACACGGAAAGCGAACAGGGAAGGACAGCAGGAGAGAGAGAGGCAACAGATGGACATGAAGCTGCCATGCTGAGGAATTTATTTGCGTCTTTTACTTGGTTGCAGGCGGAGCTGCTGCACCGCGGCTTCAGCAGCGGCTATGGCAGCCCCAGCATCTTCCAGGTGGCTCTGGGTGACGCTGGTTTTGCTCTGACTGCGCGACGGTCCGTGAGAGCGCAGGTGGCCTTCGGAGGAGGATTTCGAGCTACCGGGACTACTGTGGGATTTCTCAATGGTGGGAACCTGCATGTCTGGTTACAAGAGGGTGAGACGTGAGTTAACAGTGCTCCAGTGTTCCTCCTGTCAAGCTTGGTCTCACACAGTTTGAAACTGTCTAAGATTTATGTTAATTCGGTTTCCTTTCGGGCTCATGTATGCAACTGCTCACCACTCCGTAATGTGATTAAACATTCGGGAAACAGTTTTTGGGAGGAAAGTCAAAAGGATAATCATGGTGAGAAGAGATAAGTCTGAGAAGAGGACAGACATCTCACCAGCCTCATGGAAATGCGTATGTTAGCTTTCAGTTTCTCCAAGCCACCGCTAATTCTAGGAGGGACCAGGCAAGAGACAAGAAGCTCACATGCCCACGGAGGAGTTTTCAGTGAAAACACGGGGAATTCCTGGATGAAGGGGCCTGAGTCACCAGGACACATAAACAGTGGAGACTGGAGAATCATGTCTCAGAGGATTTCAGAGAATGTCTATAGAGATCCCACATTTACTATGGCCGTCAGAGAGAGAGGTCTTTATGCTAATGATCTTCCAGAAAGTTAATCAGGGTAGAGTTGATCTGGCTAAGTGGAATCCATAAATGACCTATAAAGCTCATTCATAAGTCATCTGTAGCCCTCATGGTCAGTCCGTAGTTTGTCATATCAACTCAGTGGCCTACTGGACTTGGCCTCGTGGTTTTTCATCTCCGAGAACACTTGTACTTGTGACCCATTCCTTTCTAATGTACAAAGAACCACTTTTCAATTTGATGTACTTTCTGAGAAGAGGAGAGAAGGGAGCAATACTCAGGTCCGGTATAAAAATTTATACTTGACACTTAAAAATAGTTCAGTATGTCTAGGTAAAATACCACATGGTTATCTCATCTAGGCAGTCACTTGGTTGATGATGAAGGTTAAGGTTGTGTTGTAGGATCATTGGCAACGAACCTCTGGAAGGAAAAGTTCATTCACATGGGAATGCTGTGCAAACTGCCAAACCCAATGGATAACATTACCATTTCAAAAATAATGATAGTAGTTCAAAAAAATCACAGAATTAGCTCGAGGCCAACATTTAGGAAAGGTATAATCAAATTTTGACATACCCATTGTTTCGGTGACATGGGGAAAATGATCTTGATATGGTAAGTAAAAACCAGGATGCAAAATTATATATGTTCATATATTACACATATTTGAGTAAGAATATACCTTTGAAAAAAATAGTGGTTTAAACAACGAGAAAATATATGCATAAATGGTAATGATGAGTATGTCTAGTCAATGGACTGTTGAGGATTTTTATTTTTCTTTATGAAATACCCCCAACATATTTTATAAAATCATATTATCATTCATTTTGACAGCTGGAAATAATCCAACAGCTCATATAGCCCAACCCCCTCTGTTGTACCGGTTGAAAACCAGAGTCAGAGAGGTGAAGATCACAGAGTCATAAACTTAATTATGTGCTGATCTGAGACTAAAGCCCATTTTTCCTGATTCCATATCCATTACTGTTTGTAGGATATTATATTACATACTTTCCAATAGAATCCAACACTGTAAAATATATTAAGTATACAAGCATTCATATTCAAGAAGTTACTGAGTGAACAAATAGAAAAAAGCTTTTTCTACTTGAAATAACTCCTACCCTTGGATGGGTCAGGGAAGATACCATGGCTTCTGCTTTTGATGACAGATGGCTTTGGAGACTGCTGGCTGCTCTGACTGGAATGAGACTTGCCATGATCAATGCTTTCAGTCTGTTCTTTGAGAGAATACCATCTAGGAGTGTTATCGAGATGAGATGTGCTAGATAAATCAATCAATACCTGAAAAAAGGCAATAGGTCAATGAAATTGATATAATTCATTCATTATTTGTTTCTGTGATCTGAAACTTACTCAAGGATATAAGCCAAAAGACATAGTATGACTCTGAGGATGACAAGGCTGTCTTCTTTATTCTTCTTTACCCATGACATTGGGAGCAAAGTCTTGTGCATATTAGATGCTTAAAAAATATTTGATTGGGGCACCTGGGTGGTACAGTCGGTTGGGCATCAGACTCTTGATTTCGGCTCAGGTCATGATCTCAGGGTTGTGAGATTGGGCCCTGCACTGGGCTCTGCTCTGCTCTGCTCTCCCGCTGCCCTCCCCACTGTGAACTCTCTCTTCTCTAAAATAATTTTTTTTTTTTTAAATGAACTTTTGATTAAACTGAACTGTATAAAATCTTTGTTAATTAAATTATTTGGAGATGATGTAAAAAGGTAGAGTCTCAACTCAATCTTTGGGAATGAAAGTCCTCTTTTGTTAAATGAACACATTTAGTAATAAACTTGGATATCTTTTTTTTTTAAAACTAGGATATCATTTTTAAAAATTTACTTTTAGTTACTAGAGGGACAAAAGAAAAAAATGGATTATTTGCAATTACTGACTTATTCCTTGTATTTTAAAACATACTTTAACTCATATTTGAAATAGAGATATGACTAACAATTTATGATGAGAACGTACTGTATCATGGTTTGACTGGCAGCATTTTTTTAATTCTTAGTAGTTCGTGAGTAATAACCCATTTCACAATTGCTGGCATTTTAGATTTGATGAGATATAAAAAAACAAGAACCAACACAATGGATATATGCTCTAGGTTCATGTCAACAATAAATTATAAGGACTACAATAAATCAGTTTTCTGAAATGGAACATTAAGTCAGATAGCATATTGCATCCTAGAACTGTCCAAAGACTAGTACCAGGGGCCGTACCAGCAAGGGAGCCTACAAGTAAAGGTCAAATGGCCAAGTTTTGATAGGAAAGAAAAGTATGGCGTCTTGGAACCAAATAAGGTCTCATGGCACATAGACTAAATAACTATTTTCCGTTGTTTCTGGGAAGGGATATCCTATTGTTTGAGTGTTATTTTATTTTTGGAGATGATTTATTTTTTAACATTAATTCATAACTTCTGCTTTAAGTAAAGATTATTAAATATAGTATATTTTTTGAAATATGATAGATTAAAAAAAAAGGCACAGGATCTGACCACTGTGCCAGATTTCATGATTAGGTTAGATTCCATGTGAACTTACATAAAATTGGTTTGTATTGTTTTCTCCTACTTCTAGTTCTGTCTCATAAAATATTTTGAGAGATTTTTCTTGGGATGCTTAAAGGAAATAAGAATGCAGAAAGTCACATCAAGCCATTGACAGCTGTAGTGAGGAAGAACAATAAAATACCTGAAAATCTATTTTAAAAATCTAGCTCATTTTATAGTAATCTGTCTCAAATTTGGATTCACAGCATGATTGCATATCTCCTATCAAAGCAATTAATAATTCATCTGAAAATTAATTATAAATTAATAATTCAATAAAATTTAATTTAATAAAATCAATAATAAATTTAATAAATTAATTTAATTAATAAATTTCATTGATAATAAAATTAATAAAATTTAATAAAATTAGTAAATTAATAAAAGTACATCAAATGGCAGAGTGAAAACCATTATTCAAATTACTACTCATCCAGTCAAAGAATAAATCAGGAAATATATCCTACCCACAAAAGGGCTTTCACCAAAATGATAATCTAATAAACTTAAGAAATATGCTTGCATCAATAAACTTTAATTGGTGGCTTATAGTGAAAGCAAATAAAGAAAAGGAAACCAGATGCTCACCTCACCAAGAAAGTCATTGGAAGAAAATCTATCATAATCCCAGACTGTCACCTCCAGGGTTTTCTTCTTGAGCTACAGTTTAAATCAAAATGTTATTAACCCCACAAATTTTCATCACACTCTATTATTTTCACTTCCTTGAACTGTTTCCATTTGTGTAAAAAGACTTCAAACTTTATTTAAAATGTAGGTTTATATTAAATATTATGTAAAATGTCAATGATTTTAGAGTCCAACCTAGTATTTGTTCATAAGAGACCTCAAACTTTTACTAATTCCCTCTTTTCTAAGCCCCCCTATTGATTTTTATTAAAAAGAAAAAGAGCAGAATCTGTAAATGCTCTTTAGATACATGGAATTTATAGGATGCAAAACTGTCTAGGTTATTTAGATAACATATTTAGATTGGAGTTTTTTTATTTTAGTAAAATGCCAGAAAATAAAGTAGCATTGTCTTATTTCTGTGGGTAAATTTAACTTATTTTAAATTCAAGAACCCAGATGACAATTTGTACCTTGCCTCAACTTCATAATCAAATTAGAAATCTTCCAGAGGACAAATCCTAAATCTCCTCGAAAATCCTTTCAGCTAGTCTTCTGTATGTCTTCGTCTGTAAAGTTTAGCCCCACAATGCCTGATTCATAAGAGGCCTTGATTTAGAGAGAACATGAATTCTTAAACTGCTGTCTGGTGCAACAACACATTCAAATACGCTGAATATTTTCTTTGTATTATTTGTAAAAGTCAAAATACAGCCAGCTATTATTTTTGTAATATATACACATCAGTTCATTATGTATACCATAAACTTATACAATGTATTATGTCAATGATCTCAGTAAAACTGGAAAGAAGTGAAAGTGATTGACGAAATTTTACAAAAAAATATATAGCTAGTTGGAAAACATTTTCCCCTAAAATTTGATAAATGTGTCCCAGTCTGTTGAAATATTTAAATTTTGCAATAATTGATGGAAAATGTTCCATTGGTCTTATTTCTTTATTTTTTGGCTGCTTTGTTGTAAGGCACACATTTATACTCATGGTAACTTTGCCCCGTACCTATTTCTTTTCACTTGGCTATGTTTATTATTTGTATTTTACACATTTCTTTTTGTTTGCGTGGCAAAATTGATAGATCACAATCTTGCAATAATTTTGTCATCGGTTTTCTTATACTAGCCTAAATATGTTATATAGAAAAAAATCATTGCATACCTGTTCCATGGAGATACTTTTATAAATTACTGTTTGATTCCACTCAGGATTAAGACTTTTTTGAACATATTTAGTCCTCCTCTTGTACTCAGCACTGAATTAGAAGAAAAAAAAAGAGTTATCTTGATTATTCACCTTAACTGATGCCTTCACAGCCAGCTGGAAGAGCATGCAGACATTTTAAGATGATATTTTGTTTTAAACATTATGCAATCATCCCATCATCTTCCTGTCTAAAACCTTTTTTTAAGTTGAATACAAAATGACAATTTAAAAATATGTTGGACGCCTTTAGTTTCATTTGTCCTAAAGTAGTTTTTAAAGAAAAGCTTTTAGGTGTTCTAACTATACCATCATTTTAGAACCTTTCTCTTTCCTGAATCCAGGAGACTGTTGCATGAACTATATGGTAACATCAATATCTTCTTCCCCATAAAATATAATTTGGTATCTCACTTTCCAATACTTTTATTTCTAATCATGTCCGCAAAGCCAAATGGTCTTTTTTTTGTCTGTATAAAATTGTAATGATTGTTTTGACTGAGGAAAGGATAAGAAATGTTTGTTGCTACAGCTGAGATTCTATGAACATTTGTTACCTTGTACTTAAAGTATATTTTGACACTCTTAGTAAAGCAGGATATTTAGTTATAAAGCAATTACATATAAATTCTGGGTTTATGTCAATAGCCTGGATAAATCATTACAAACCAGATCAAAATAGTTCCTCATTCCTTACAGCCTGGGGCATGTGAATTTTTCCTTGACTTTTCCATTCCGTCTGAGCAGCAGTTAGAAGCTTATATGCCAAACTTATTCTAGTTAAGACAAACAGAACATCTATAGCTGACATCTACCAGATCATGGGGTTGGAATTACTGTTGTTTCCTATTAGCCAACGTTACCCACACAGATGAGGCCTTTATCCAATCCTCACTGCCTTTTCCCCAAATTTTCTGCATAGCCTTATAGCTTAGGTCCTAGATAATACTTCAGCTCCCGTGGGCAGCAGAGTCCTGAAATCCAACCTAGTCTTCTGGAGTCCTTTCACGTGCTTTGATTTTACAAATTGTTTTTTCTAAAGGGACCGGATCCTGACCCTTGATTTGTTGTTCCTAACAAGGGGCCGACTAACTCTTGCTAGACCCTGGTCTCAAGCACTGCCACATCCTGGAATGCCTCCTCCTATTGCTTCCCAGGCACTAATTTACCCTATCCATTCTAGACAGAGCAACTGACAATCAAGCTCTAGTTCCCACTCACTTTTATCATGTCTCTCTTCTCTCTTTAGCTTTATTCTCTTTCTTATCAGCCACACGCCAGGGCAGGAATTCCCAACATGGACTACATATTGGCATCACCCAGGAATCTGAGTTCCGAGGCTGCCAAGTAGGGTCCAGCACTGCACCCACATTTCCCTGCCCTGCACCTCCAAGGAGATCCTGATTTCATACGTCTGGGATGAGGCTTGAGTAGTAGAATTTTTAAAAATATCCCAGGTAAATCTAATGTGCAGATTGAGAACCAATGAACTTAAAACAGTTTCCAAGACCTCCTGTGTCAGTTATTGTGAAGTGAATTCAATTTAAGAAAAAAAGCATCATTCTAGTCACTTCTAACTAACTCATTTGTATGAAAATGAGAGCAGGATTTGACTATTTCTTCATTCAAGACAAATTGCAAACAATTTTAAGGAAATGCATATGCAAGGATTTAAAGAAACGGGAGTTCTCATAGACTGTAGACAGTATAAATTTGTACACAGTTTTTAGATGAATTTTAGATGAAACTGGTGAAGTTTATGGACCCAAATACCTAGAAAATTCTACTTTGACTTCTTCCACTTCCACTTTACAGAAGTTTTCCCACCTGTGCACAAGGAATGTTTTTAAGAACATTCACCATAACATTGTTTCTAATAGCATATTAATAAGATAATATGTATTATGATATATTCTTTCAATGAAATAGTAAGCATCAGTTAAAGTGAATAAATATATACGTTCATAAATTAAGATGGATAAATCTTGAAAAAAAGTTGAGCAAAAAATGTGCAGAAGGATAACTATCTTGAGTTATCATGATTTAAAATCAAAATCATGGGAAATAATACAGTAAACTATGAATACATGTATATAAAATAAATGCATATAAACATCATAAGACAGTTTGGCAATTATAGGTAATAAATTCTATTTAGTGGTTATCTCAAGTGGACAGGGGAATGGTTTCAGAAGGGCTCGGGGTACCTATAAAATATTTTTAATAAGAAAATGAAGACTATATAGCAAAATACTGAAATTTGATGGAACTAAATGGCAAGAACACAGGTATTTGTTATTTTCTATAATTTTCATTGATTTTGAAATATTATACAATATAAATTCAAAATAACTTTGGTAAGCTCTGTTCCTTTGTATCTTATGTTTTTGATTTTTTTTTTTTTTATAATGACATGGGAAGAATGGATGTGACCACTTTTAAGATAATAGCAAGCCTTGGTTACTATTTTAGAATTCATGGCTATTTCTCTAGGTAGGCATACCTGGAAGAAAAACACCTGACAATAGAAGTTTTAAGGTTTCTATTTGTTTTGGGCTTTGTTACTAAGGTAATGAGATCATGGGGAAACATACAGATAAGGTTCATAATACCGGGGAATAGTAGTAAATTATTTTTTTCCAATGCTGAAAAATTAAGTGCTTAACTTTTCAAAAAGATAGAAATTAATGTCAAATGCAAACTCAAGTATTTTCACCAAAATCCTAGATATGTCAGTATTTGTGAAAATAGTCTGAATTATTTAACTGTCTTCCAAAGAATTTATTATTCATCATCTTTTCTGAATCTATGAATAATTGTTATTATAATTTTTCACCTGCATATTTTAGTCATTTTTTCACTTACACATTTAACAAAAGTTCTTAATTCATATATGAAAAGCAATTTATAAAGTAAGCACATTAAAATAAAAACAGCTAACATTCATTAAAAGCTTAGTTTTTCCCAGGCAGAGTTCTAAATGCTTCTTATGTGTTAACTCATTTAATCCTCATGGAAATTTTATGAGACAGGATTTGAAAAATGAAACTCAGTGAATTAAGGTATGTTGGAAAGCCTGCATAGTTATTAACTGGTAGGGCCATGATTCAAGCATAGGGCAACACTGATTGGGTGCTCTTAAATGTATGCTATATGAACTCAATTGATTAGGCTCACAAAATGTGAATAATCCATCAATTTCTTAATTTCAGGCTTAATAGCTGAAGTACCTAGTTTGTCTTCTTTACCATATAACCTAATGTTATTCACTTCAGTTTAAATATATATACTTCCTATATATGTAATATAAATTATATACAATATGTGTGTGTGTATATATACACATATCATAAAAATTAGGCCAGTGTTAGGGTTGTTCAGGCAAATTCTGAATAGTATATCCTAAGAGAGTGTTGTGAAATGAAGTATAATTACTTCATTTAGTTTAAGTGTAATATTTATATATTTCTTATAATTTATATATATAAATTAATATTTATATACTATTAAGTATAATAAAATTAAGTATAATATTTATAGTAATTATAAATATTTATTCTTGCCCAGATCCACTCAGAAACAACCACAATTGGGGGGAATTTTATGTTATTAGTGAGTTTGATTCTTCAATTCTCTTTGGACTCAAGGTGTCTATTGCCTTTAGAATTAATGCAGGAACACACAATTTGCCGCCACTATTTCTGGTGGTGCTGTGTCAATGATAACGCAATCCTTTGCAGGGTTTTTTTTGGTCTTGAATGTTATGACTCAGAGATGGTCACACTAAGCCAGTCCTTTTTTTTTTTTTTTTAAAGATTTTATTTATTTATTTGACAGAGAGAGATCACAAGTAGACAGAGAGGCAGGCAGAGAGAGAGAGAGAGAGGGAAGCAGGCTCCCTGCTGAGCAGAGAGCCCGATGCGGGACTCGATCCCC